CTGTCTATTTGTATGGTCTTTCCAAAATATGTCTCCTTTTTTGGACCTGAGGTATACAGAATTATTTTATTATTTTTGTTTGTTTTTTTCAATGAAGAGATGTTCAAGTGTCAAAAGTATCAATGAAACCTGAAAAACGGGAAAAACGGTGAAAAATCAGAAAAAACAGGAAACAAAAAAACAACCCTCTAGACGTAAGCTTATGCATTTATTAGCTAAAAAGTGCTCTACTCAGAACTACCTCGTCAGAACCATCTCTGAAGCTAAATCTGGGAATGCAATCACTACAGTAGCAGCCAGGGTGAGAGAAGTAGGTGGTTCCCTACTGTTGTTTGAAATGAATCTCCAGAGAAAAGTCTGAAACATGCTTTCTAGATGCTATAGCCCCACAAGGTCCTTGGATACCTGTACCTAAATATTTTTGTTACTTTAAAGGCAGACTCTGGTTTTTGTTTTGTTTTAATATGATTTCATGTGTGTAAAAATTTGGGGGTAGGAAGACAAGCATGAAACAAGGTTATCTATTCTGGCCTCTACCCTAAACCTATAGCAGGAGGGACCAAGTCCCCAAATACCCAATCCCCTTTTAGAAGAGTTTAACCCAACCAGTTAAAATCAAGCTCAGAAAAGAAGTAGAAAAATAATAATTTCTCAAGTCAAGAATGTGTGAGTCACAAGATGTTGGGGTTGAAAAGTAAAAGATCTAATCCAACAGTCTCATTTTATAGATAACTAAATTGAGTCCCATAAAAATGGTTATCAGCCTGTCTAAAGTAAGACAATTAGCTAAATGCCAATAATATTTTATTCACTTCAAAAACTATATCTTGGGCAGTACCTTAAAAATACATTTTTCTACAGAAATGATTTTTAAGGACAAAACAACAATCACTCAAAGTTTTCTGTCAAAATTCATCCTGTAATGTGGCAATGTACTAAATCAATGTAAGTAAAGCTATGGTTGATGGCAGGAATCATAACTATTTTTAAGGGGATCCACATCCAAATAAGCTTCAAAACAGTTGATCAAATGCACTATATGGTTAAAGTTATTTTTACTTTATTTAATGTCTAACATTTATTGAGTGCTTACTATGTATCAGGCACTATGAAGTGTTTTGAATGTATTATGTCATGTACATGAATTAAAATGAAAGCTTAAAATGTATAGCTTAAATAATGATAGTTACATACTATAAAAAAATGTTTAAACCCTCTTAAAACCGTAATTCAGAAAACATAAGGCAAATAAAGTTCTATAAATATAATAGTAAAACAAATTCCCACCTCCTCCCCTCTAAAGAACCAAGAGCTTTCCTCACTACTTCCAGGTGATAAAGTCAGAGACATAGTTTGGACTTCAGGAAATCTAGACACCAATTTTCTCTCTCACACACAGCTTCTATAAATTCAAGAATAGGTTAAGGACAAACACTGGTAGAAAATTTACCCATACAATAACAGAAAACATCCTGCCATCCTGTCAAATACTTCAATATGTCAACTTGTAAATATTCCAAGAATGCTATTATGCAATATAAAATCAACAAAGCCCCTTTCCCAATTTTTTTTGTAGGATTATGGCATACTTGTAATTAAAATATACTTCTTGGTGAAGTAAAAATGTGAGGATGAAAAGAAGGAATCAGAGTAGAAGATAAAGGTACTAGCATTGTCAAGTTGACTGATGTTTATAAATAATTTTTAGAAGATAATTCTATTACAGAACAACTTGCCTTAGAGACAGATAAGTTTCTGTAAGCCAGTAAAGCTATTATCCAACAATGGGAAAAGAGTTGTGCTTTTATACCATTGCAAATGGGAATTCTATATTACAAATCTATACAGCCTTACATTACATAGATAAGGTGTGTATGTGTATAATATACCTTACAGACATTTAATACTTATCATGCCTCCTTTCAGGCATAATAGAAACTTCAATTTGTTATTGTTTTTTAAAATCACAAGAGGCAAGTTTAATGGGTTAAATTCCTACATTACTTTTCAATTATTTCATTAGTACCTTACCAAAGGAGAGTTTTAAATGTTTATTTTGGAAACATGTTTACTACACCAGAATTTTGTTAAGAATAGTTTGATAATGTCAGCTCAAAAGACATTTTTACAAAAGTGGTTAGTTTTCGGACAATATAAGATAGGAAAAAATCTAGTTTGTCACCAAATGTCCAAAAATTCAATAAGTAGCTCCCTCTCCTGGGGGAAAAAAATGTGAGTTCTTCTTTAAACTGTAAAACTCACACTTGTACCCTTAAAAATACTTTTAAAAATATACGAACCAAAAAATATATGTAAATAGGCAAATTTGAGTTTTTCTACCATTATGAATTAATAACCCCAAACTAACATAAACAGCTATTCACAGTTTTATAGAAACCGGTATACATACTAAAATTGTATACATTTATCAAGCTGACAAAAAGTGATGAACATAATGATTTGACTTAATGTACAACAATCTTTGTACTTGATCACAGAATTTTGAGATTCCTTTCAGTTTAGTGGTTTTATACCATCATCAAACCTCAATTATACTGTTCATACTTAACTCACTAGTTTTTAACCAAAGATAAACTGGTTTTATTGTATAAAGAAAGTAGCAGCTCTATGAAGAGCCTTTACTTATAAATAAGTCTTTTTATTCTACTTGTTTGTTAATCAGGTAAAAAAATAAACATACCAATTTGAATGACTCGTACTAAAGACCCCAAATTTATATTTCACACAGTAATTACCTATAGAACTGGGTTGCCTAAGTAAAAAAATGCAATTTACATATGTCAGTCAACAATGTTCACACATATATTTCCTCACATGCTAAAAACAAACTCTTATCCTACCTATAGCCCATATTCTCACCCACTCAGAGCAACTGTGTCACTAAGTTTAAACTACAAAGAATATAACTGACTGTTTTAAAACGCTGTTTACCACTAAGATGAAAACAGAAAGAAAAAGTTTCAGGGAAGAGTTAATCAGAAAACAAGATACAAACACACTTGACTGTCACTACAAAGTAAACTGAATATGCCTATGATAACCTCAAACTTCGAAAAATAGAAAAGCTTCCAAACAAAGCAGATTAACCTTAGTGAAAATCAAAAGTCAAAAGTCTTATATTCAAATGCCATGGTATGCTTATAAAGAACTGGATACATAATACATAATGTTCTTAAAATATTAGTTTTATTACTGTTTCTAATACACCAATACTCAGAATTACCTGATAAAAACCTTTAAATAGACAGCCAATATTATAAGTGCAGAAAATGTGTATTACTACTACAATAGCTCCTTACTAAATTCTTGGGTCCCAGAGAGTTTGACAGCCTACTCAGCAAACTACAATGCTAAAGCTTTCTCCAGGGACCAACCTTGCTAACATAAACATCTATTTCTCAAAGAGAAAAGGCAGCTTAAATGAAAAAAAGTATCAAATCAAATGGACAGATCATAAATATGGCCTTAAGCTTTAGAGGCTAATTTAATTAGCAAATAAAGTAATTTCATCAGTGGACGTTTAGTTTTATAACTACGCACTGTTAAAGAGAAGTATTAAATATTCAATCTGTACTTTAAATTTGACCCATTACATATATTCTGTGACACCTTAAAATTTACCAAGACCCACACCCCACACTAAAGTTTTGTTTGAGGCAAAATACTTAGCTGAATTAATCAAACGAAGCAGGTTTTTTCTCTTACCTAAGTTGGTGAACGAAACTTAAGAAAGCACCATAAATGAATACTAAACATTCCTATATAGGCACCTCAGAGTTAAAAAAAAAAAAAAATCCTGTACAAACCCCCCCACCCATCAGTGACATTATTAGCAACACAGAATTGTGATTAATTTTAAGTCTTTTTTTGTTGTTGTTTTTTACCTTGTGTCTGAAATACTTCAGAAAAACCAGTATGGAAAAGGAGCAAGGTAATGTTCCCTTTGGTCATCAGGAGGGATCACAACCCCACCGTTGTAACCACTATCCAAGGACACTGCACTAAGGCCGGGTGCAAATGTGCAGAAATTCAGTAACTAACTCCAAAGGTAAACAGTTATGTGGTTTTTTGGGGTTTTTTAGGTTTTGTTTTCTTTTTTGCTGTCAGCAGTAAAAAGCTTTCAACCTACTCCCCTAAAAGCCACGTTTGTTTTCAAAATAAAGTCGAGAGAGCCAATAACTCAACTAGAGAAAAGGTGAGACTCTCCTTCCCATTTCTCGCCTTGGCCTAACATTTCATCTCCTTCCTGCAGCCAAATACCAGATGAATGGGGCAGGTCACAAGATCAGAATGAAAATGTCCGTCTTGGCCTTAAACCCTTCCAGCCCCAAATCCAATGAAGCCTGAACTTTTCCTCTTCCTAATCCCACCCAAATCAAGTCTCAAGAATTAACCCCACTACAGTTCCCATTATCTGCCCTTATCTTTCCCAGCCTGTCTCCAAATTAACTGCCCCCATGATTTACCAGGTAGATGAGCTAGGGAATAAAACAGAGACTTTGGGGCCGACGTTAGGCCAGCCATGCAGGGTGCTGAAGGAGAGAGCAAACGCGGTAAAGGAGCACTTAAAAAAAAACTGAGAAAGGTCCAAGGGCTCGTGAACAGCCTGTGCCGTGGAAGTGCAAGCCGGCGGACAAACACAGAAAGGCAGGGAGGAGAGCCAAAGAAAACTCGCTGGAGAGACATTTTGGGAGCCTACGAGACGCACTCCCTCTGGCGTTGAAGGATCCGCAGTCAAGTCCGAGATGCGCCCGTATCTAGGTGACAAGAGCTGACTCTCCACCAGCCAGGTCGTCCTCCGCAATCCGGCACGGCGCCCAGGGGTCCCCCAACACTGCCCCCTTCCCACGCCCGCAGCCTGGCCCGGCCCCGCCGGGTCCAACTGGGTAAACGAGAGCCGGCGGAGCCACTACTGCCTACTCCCGAGGCCCGCGCGGCCCCTCCCAGCAGGACGCCCCCCGCCCGGGCTCCGCGCCTACCTGTAGCACCAGCGGCTCGGGGTTGAAGGCCAGGGTCAGCAGCAGCTGCATGCGCTCCGAGTCCTTGAGGTTGCGGAGCAGGAAGCTGCCCGAGTCCTTCGTCTCGGCGTAGCGGCGCACTAGGCGGTCAAGCAGGCGCTGCGAGGGGCAGTGCACCAGGTCGGACCAGCCCTCCACCGCCTCGGGCGTGAGCAGCCGCACGTCGCCGTTGAGGCGCGCGAACTCGGTGCGGGGCATGGCCTGGAGCAGGTCGCAGCGGGGCCGGCCGGTGGCCCGCTTGCAGATGCTCTGGTCGAGCTGCGCCAGCTCGCGCTGCGAGCCGAGGCGCTTGAGCACCACTCGGCGGCGGCCGCCCTCGCGGGGCTCGCCGTACTGCGCGAAGTAGACGTTCTTCACGTTGAGGAAGTCCAGCAGGCGCAAGCGGCCCCACGCCTCGAACACCACCTGCCCGTTGAGGAAGCGCCGGCACCAGCTCGTGCCGAAGCACGCCGGGCACTTATTGAGCTGCAGGAAGCGCCGGTCGGCCAGCTCGTTGCGCTGCCAGGAGGCGAGCAGCGACGGCGAGTGCAGCACCATCAGCACCAACAGGCTGCCCAGAGCCGCCAGCTTCAGCGAGCGGGACAGGCGGCCCAGCTTCGGGGGCACCAGGCGCCACATCCCGCCCGCCGCCCGTCTGCCCGCACCCGGAGGGCGAGGGCACCCCCGGGGCGCCCCCGCCGCGCCGAAACCCGGAGAGCGACCCGCAGAGGCCCTGGACGAGAGAAGAGGCGAGGGCGCGGGCCGGGGCGGGAGGCGGAGTAGGTGTGTGAGAGAGACCGGGAGCGGGAAGGAGCCGACCAGAGCCGACTGCGACTTCTCCCCGTCACTAGTCTCCACAACTCTCGAGCTCCCTCCACCGAGCTCCCCGCCCTCCGACTCCGGCGGCGCCTCCTCCGAGCCAGCCAAGTTATAGAGGAGTGGGAGGAGGAGGGAGCGCGGGGACCCGACGGCCGCGCGCACGCGCACGCGCACTGCACGCTCGGGGAGCGAGGGATGCGGCGGTGGCCGCCCGTAGGGCCAGCGGGGTCTCTGAGGAGAGAGAAGGAGGGACTCACGGAAGGGGAAGAGAAGCTGGAATGTCTCACAGCGAACAGTAGCAACAGTGTAGGAAGGTGGGAAGGATGAGGTACCCGCGCGTCTCTGGTGCCGCACGACCCAGTTCGTACGCGCTGGCTCCCCCGAGAGAGGGCCAGGGGGCCAGGGGGCGGGGACAAGGGGGGCGGAGCCGGCGCGTCGCGCGCCGCCCGGAAAGCGTAAGCGCGGGCTCGCGCGGGGGCGGGGGGGGGGGTCTTTGTGGGGGGGCCCGTCTCCGCGAGGGCGGAGCCTGAGCTATTGAAGGAGGGTTAGACTCGCGAACTCCGGTGGTGAAATGACTCTTAGTAATAGTTAATCTTTAATGAGTGAGGATTACTGGGGCCTGTCTTTTACCATTGTGGAAACGGCCCTCTGAGAGGGGCAGAGAAGAAATGAATTCCGGAAGGCTGTTGCAACCCCTTCTCACCGGTTGGCGCGCGAGGGGCGGAGGCAGAGTGGGTGGGGCATAGTACCCCCTCCTCCGCGCCTTATACGGTGAGGCGCGCGCCTGGGGGCGGGGCGGGGCGAGGCGTGCCAGGCCCGAGCTGGCGTCCCTTGGGGCCCGCGCACCTCGCGGTGGAGGGCGGGTCTGCGAGGGAAACGTGGGCAGGCTTGAGTTGTGAGGGACTGGTTGGGGATTTCATCTTTGGCGTGTCTTATCTATGCAGACATCTAAAATTTTCCTGAGTGGGAACGGAAAAATCCAAGTCCTCAAGCCACCGTGTTAAAGGGAAAGCAGCATGAACAGGGCATCAACACGGCCTGGTGTCACTAGGAGTTCTGCCCTAGCCGCTGCGAAGAAGCAGAAATGAGCACCTGGCAGGTTTGCTTTGCTCCCGCCTGCTTTCCCAACCTGGCCCTGAAGGTGTTTCTTTCTACTTAGCGTCGTAAATTTCCCGGCGCCGCCCCTGAGGGGCTCCGAGGCGGGCGGGCGGGCGCCCCCACTCCACCCCCACGGGCTCGGGCCTGCCCGGCTGGTCGTGAAGCGTTGCTGTGACGGTAGCCATGGGGACCCAGGGCCGCCTGGTGCTCCACACAGGCATGTTGGCTCAGATTCAGGCCACGACTGCAGAAGTAACTCGGAAATGCTAAACTGCACCTTGTTTTGGTGTTAAGTTTCAGGGGACCCAAACTCTAGCAATAGCTGCGAATATATAATTATAATGCTTTTTATCGCTAGAATATTTAGCGCTAGAATAAAATTAGTTAAAATCATTTTATGAATATGAGGGATAGGTGGTTCCTGATACGGTATTACGTGGTCTTAACTGAGTTCATTTTAGAGACTGAACAGTGATTTTTAGAAGACCCTAGTAATTGGCAGGTATAGACCAACTCTACAGGGGCTTAATGAGACATCTGTACTGGATTATCAAAGTCACTTTTCTGTATTATCCTCAACAGCTGTTTGTAAAAGAGCCATCCTGTTGAGCAGTACTGTTGAAGTTAATGTTTTGTCCTATGTGATGCAAGAATTCACACTTGGAAAACAAAACTGTTGGACAATTTTATATTCAACATAGAAGTGACTTTTAAATGATATTACATTGAATACAGACAAATGGGAAGATTAGTCTTCAAGCCTTGTATAAAGACACTAAAGAAATCTCACCGCTACAAATGAAGACTTCCTGCCACTTTGGGCAGTAATTTGGTTTAACTTGCCTTCAAGTATCCCAAAACCCCATACAATGTAAAGTTAATGATCAGAATCCCAAATGAGGATTTCTTAAGAAAAGAGTTTGGTGTGATTATTCTGGAGATGTCTCAGCGCTGCTGCTGCTGCTGAAATGTAAACTAGGTAAGTTATTACTAAGCTGCATTTTTTTTAATCTCTAGCATCTTTTCTACGTGTCCTGTAGATGTGTTCAATTAATATGAGCTAATTTATGTGGAATTGCTTTATAAAAGTAAAAGCATTACATACCTTTCTATATTTATAGTTAGAATGAATTATTCCATTGGCAAACTTGACAGTAAACTGATTAAGCTGAGATAATTGGGGCAACTGAGAAGACAAATTCTGTGACAGGATTGTAATAGGATTAAGGAGGTACTGTTTCTGTTGGGTTGTCAGAAAAGTCATGACGCATTTTTGCAACGAAAAACAGAAAAATACGTCATGACTTTTCCGACAACCCAATATGTATGGGAAAGATCTTTGGAGTTCTTAAAGTACTCTCAGTCTCCAAATCCTTGGAATTGTATAGGCATCATTTGAGGAGTGGAAGTAAAAAAGGTTAGTAGTCTATAGAAATTGAATTTTGAATAACATTTGCTTTTTACCTAAATATTTTACATTTATTTAAAAGTCCTGGGATTCTTTTCAGTTAAGCTTCTAGACTTTTATCAAGAAAGATAGTCTTCAAGGGGGAAAAAAAAAAGGCTCGGAGTTATATGAGATAAACTCAGTGTTCTAAAGTACCTTAACTGGGTTTAGGAAAAGGTCAGTAAGTTAGTGCACATTATCCACCTATCCTATAAACTACAAGATGTTTTTGGCTAGTGGATTATAAACTAACATTCAAAGTTCTTCCCTATAAGTTTAAATAACAGCAAAAATGTAGTTTACAGTGCATTGTAAAATGTCATTTTATAATATCTGTCACTCTTTTAAATGTATGCAATGGAATTAAATATCAGTATTTTGATACCCATCATCCATTTTTTGAAAAGTGAACTAGCTCTTTGATAGTCCAAGTTTCACAATGTATCGGAGTCCTGTTCCTTGTAGCAGTGGTTCTCAATTAGGGACTGTTGCCTCCTGAGGGACATTTGGCAATATCTGGAGATGTTTTGGTCATAACTAAGGTGTGGGGGCTACTGCATCTGGTGGGAAGAGCCCAGGGATATTGCAAAACATTCTATTTTGCACAAGGCAATCTCCCAACAACAAAGAATTAATCAGCCCAAAATGTCAATAGTGCTGTGCTCTTGAGAACCCTGACCTACAGAACTCTATTCTTATGTACTAAGGTTTTAGGCGTGAAAGCCTTATTGGTTATTGTTCTTTCCTGCAACCAAAAAAATGCCTGTATATTTAAATTTATTGCATATCCCATAATCACAATGTTCTAAAAGTTGAGTCAGCCAGTTGATCAAAATATAAATATCACAATTTTTAATTATTATGAAAAACATTTTCTTGAAATGTATTTTTTATAAGATTAGGCTTTTTATCATTTAGCTTAATTTTCCATGTATGGATAGTATTTATTGCTGGAATTTGACAGAATTCAACATCAGTTATTTTTCTCTTTTTCATTTTTAGAGATGTAAAGGCCAAAGTATTTTGTTCATTTAAGTTGAGGGGAATAAAAAGAATGTTAATATATCAATGTCATTCAATTTTTTTTATTCCTTCTGAGTTATGCTAAAAATCATTTACTGATAGTGACCTATCAGAATTCCTAATGACATTAAGTTCTACAGTTTAGTTTGGTTTAGAAGCAAAGCTTTAGAATCCCAGCTTGGAAAGTAATCCCTCACCTAGTCAATAATTTTCTCAGTATTGACAGTTTAGTGCACTCGCAGTTATGTCCTATATGCCATATTTAATATGTACCATATTAAAATTCAGGATGGATAAGAGGTATTCATTTTGTAAAGGCCAAAAGGGGTAATCTCTGTGTACTTAAGTACCCAAAATAGTATCTGATTTAAGTGGTTGTTTATTAGTAGTTGTTAGATGGATGGGTGGATGAACAATTGAAAGAATGAACACTTTAGAATTAAATATTGTAATAATACAAGCTAGAAATGACAAGTGATAGCAGGGAAGCTGGTGAGAAACAGTACATTCTGGATATATTCTGAAGACAGAATTTTCTCAAGGTTTGGATGTGAGAGAAGGGGAAGCATCAGCTATCACTGCATGGTTTTTGTCCTAAACACTGGAAGAGTTATCATTTACTGAGATGGGGGAGACTGAGAGCAAAAGCATGAGGAAACACAATTCCTGCCGTCCTTTTTCTTCAGTGCCACATTTGTGTTTCTAAGCTTAATTTAGCTGTTGACACCTATAGTCATCTGTTGAAATATAAATAATATATTACTTTTAATCTAATTGAAAGACCTACACAGCCATTTTCCCACAAAATAATGGGATGTTTTCCCTTTGTTTCTAACTCCAATGCCTAAAATTCAAACACTTGACAATGTTAATTGTAACTCTTCTAAGTAATGTTAATTATCTGGTTTATGTATATTAGATGTACCTTAGGACAGGTTTTATAGTTAAAGACTATTCAGTGTTTTAATAGAATTTTAAACATTTTATTGTATTTTAAATCATCAACTCTGTACACAGGTGTTTTTTTTAGGACAGATTTAATATCAAACATTGGCTCTGTTGGATATAAAAATAGACTTCTCAAACTCATAAACACCAAAACCATGATTTGGGTTGGGATAATTGAGTCATATCGTTTTCTGACTTGGTCAGAATCATGCAAATGCAACTGCAACATTATAATTCATGATTCATATTAATTCAGGTTAACATGCAGTGTTAAATAGAGTTTTCCACCTTGGTTAGGCTAATCCAAAGAGGCACATTTTTCTCTCAGTAAGTTTTTAAAACTGAGTTTTTCTTCCAGTTTGTTCAGCAGAGAAAATAATATATGCAACGACAAAAAAATGAACACCACGTCAATGAGAGGATAATTATGTCCCCATTTGTTAAGATCTTTTGAAAAATTAAACCAAATTTGTCCACCTTTGTATATTAACATTATTAGCTATTTTGTGATACTGATGCATACTGATAGTGCCCCTTATTCAGTTCCCCCCAAGTACAAGATTCTGAGGGTTTGGGTTCTCAGAGTCCAGTGAAGGAGACAGATATATACATACCGGCTTTATTACATGTTTGTGATAAATATTGAGATATAAGCAAATATTGAAGGAACATAAACAACGAAGAAATTCCTGTAGCTACTGGCATTATCTTTGCATCGATAGCACTCCTCTTAGGAGAATAGGTTGTGTGCACAGAATCATTTTGCTTCTTCCTCCTTTGACAAATTGTTTTCTTCTTAATCCTCACATTCCTGCCTCCTATCTACAAATCTACTGGTTTGTGCAAATGATGTTCTTGCCACCTCTGCTGGATAATGGCAGGTGCAGACACTGCTCTAGTCTTGGAGAACTGCAGCTGCCCTTTTTGGAGCAAAAGCATCCTTCTGGGTAGCTGATACTTGGACTTCCTTTTTAAGTAAGGTATCTTTACCAGGATCCCTTTATGGAAACCATGCATATAGGTAAAAGACCTGCTGTAGTCTTCAGCCTAATGGCTGTGCCAGTTATAAAGACTGCACAAGCTGAGGAAAGCCATTTACATTTTGTACTTACTTGGTATATGTGGATATAATACATATAAAATACTATATAATGTGTATTTAGTGTTCAAAATTATGTGATTGAGATCTGTTGATTGTTTTTTTCCCTTACAAAAGGGATTGTAAACTCTGTTGGTAAGTAAAGAATTCTCATTTTGGGGAACTAAAGAGTGTGATCACCAGTTCCAACATGTGGGGTGTATGTGTGGGGGATGAGGTTCCCCACACTGACAAGCAATGACACCAGCTGGGTATTCTACAATTTAACTCAATTGTGACACTACCCAGAGATAGCATCAGATTCCACAAGTTAAGGACTCAGTCCCACAAGCCAGCCTTGCACTTCAGAGGCAATCTCAAGCCCAGGGTGGTACTTGTGCTTCTGACCAACCAGCTACAAATCAGAGGTTCCCCTGACTCCCTCCTTGGATTACAGGTTAAGGGGTCAGTCCTACAAGACTTCCTTCCCCGCTTTAGAAGCCAATCGAAAGCCCAGGTTGTCACCTATGCTTTTCTCACAGATGCTCTCCTCGGGTTCAGTTAGTTTACTAGAGCAGCCCACAACACAGAAACATTTCACTCATTAGGTTACTGGTTTATTATAAAGGATGTAACTCAGGAACAGCCAGATAGAAGAGATGCATAGGGCAAGGTATGGGAAAAGGGCTTGGAACTTTCATGCCCACCCTGAGTGTACTATTCTCCCAACTCTCCACCAACCTTGAAGCCTCCAAACCCCATTCTTTTGGGTTTTTATGGAGGCCTCATTACATAGGCATGGTTGATTAAATTATTGGCCATTGGTGACTGAATCACCCTCCAGCTGCTCTCCCCTCTCCTATTCCTTCACCAAGGAGTGGGACTGAAAGTTTCAATGCTCTATTCAAGGTTGGTTCCCCTGATAACCAGCCCCCATCTTAGGTGCTTTCCAAAATTCACTTCCTTAAAATAAACCTAGTTGTGGTGAAAGGGGCTACTTATCAATGACAAGACACCCATTTCACCTTGATGGCCCTGAAGTCATTTCAGAAGCTGAGGACCAGAGACCAAATATTATAACAAGATGCTACCATTGCTCTTACTGCTCACGAAATTCCAAGGGTTTTGGGAGCTGGGAGCCAGGAACCTGTGGATGAAGACCAAATATATATTTTTTTTATTGTAACTCACAATATCAGGAATTAACGATAGAGATGTCTTATCACCAATGTAATCTAGTTAGAGTGGCCAGTAGAACTACGGGTTCATAATAGAGATTCCCCATCTTTGAGGTAGAACTGATTCACTTGTCTGCCTGAATTGACAGATCATTTACTACTTTTCTGTCTTTGTGCTGCCTATACCTTCTGTAGAAAGTAGACCCTGGAATTAAACTAGAACGTCATAGTTTATATTTTATAAACGTTATATTATTCTAAAGTAAGGTAGCCCCTACTTACAATTATCTGTTTGCAGACTTAGTAGTAAATAAAGTAATTGAAATTCTAGAATTGGCTTAAAAAGAAGCTTTAAACTCCATGTAAGGGCATACATAACATTATTTTTGGGTTAGGTTTTGGTTCCCAAGTTTTTAAGACACTACTACTTAAAATGGAACTATAGATAATGAAAGACAATTGTAATCTTTAATACCAAGAGAGAAAGAAAAAGAAATTTTAGTGTTAAAGTCTTAAATACCAAAGAGATGACCGATAGTAAGTAGTAAAAACTTTTCTATAGAAATCATTAAATCATAATATGCATATTTATTCATATTTTGGAATGTATGTTTCTACCAAAATGATGACAAACTAATTATAATTTTTACATTTTTTTCTCACTACAAAGGAGATTTTAGAGAAAATACTAAAAAATTATTTTAAAAATTACTTTCGAATTTCACAGATCTTTTTAAAAGTCATATTTAAAGAGAAATATTTTTCTAATAAAACATTAGCCTATCTTTTTTATATTTTGTTTTGTATTTATTGCTGGTTTATAGAAATAAAGTTATTTTTGTATATTGTCTTCCCCTCAGCAACAGTGCTACATTTTTGTATTCTAATAGTTTGTAGATTCTTTTGGGTTCTTTACACATACAAATTATATAAATTATATTAGCATCATTTTTTAACAATGTAAATACCTAAAAGTCAAGTCAGTCTTAAAAACACAAGAAAGCTGGAGAATCTATACTATTAGTAAAAACAGATACACAAGTGATCATATTTATGACAAGTGATTAAGCACTGCATTCCCCAAGGTGTTTTTTTCGATAAATCATGCAATGTGAAGTGAATATCATATGAAAAAAGATATATACCTTCACCAGTACTTCACACACCATGCACCAAAATCAGTTCTAAAGGGATTGAAAACCTATCTGACTTTTTTTTTTGGGGGGGGGAGGGGATTGCAAATCTAAATGTGAATGATAAAATAATAAAGCTTTTAAAATGAAATATAGGAAAGCTGTTGTACTCATGATTTCAGTTTACCACAGTAACAGAATGCAAATTAAAATCGGCAGCAGGAAAGGGGCATAGAGCAGGGTGCCGGAGAGACCAAGTCCAGAGAGCTTCCAGTTATCTTCCCAGAGAGTTGTAGGACAGTGCTTGCTTCTTCCAGCAACAGTGGCTGACAGTGCACGCAGTGTTGTCAACTAGGGAAGCTCAGAAAGCCTTGGTATCCAGGGCTCTTATTGAGGGAGTCAGTCCCATAGTGATGGCTCTCTTCCCACATTGCTGACCTTATTCTCTAGCTCCTCCAGACATCATGGTGATATCGTATGGCCAAGGCCCTCACCATAAGTCGCATTGTTAGCAGAAACTACTTGGCTTGGCCCAAGGCCCCAGGTAAACAAAGACTCGTATGAGGCAGAACATTACAAGGACTTAGAGGTTACTTCCCTGGAGCCCTGGGCAAGGGCCATACTTTTCTCTGGACAAGGTTAATTTTTTACTACACATAGGTAAAGATTTCTTACACAGGAAATACCAAAAACTTTTGCCATAAAGATAAAAAAATGATAAATTATTCTGTATTAAGAACTTTTACTCATTGAGAGAATGATTAAGCGATTCAAAAAGTAGGAGAAAGAATCTCTAATACATATGTTTGACAAAGACTAGTATCCAGATTATGTGAAGAATTCATACAAAGCAATATGAAACAAATCCAAAGGGGGTTAGGGGTGGGCACAAAAAACACTAAGAAAAGATGTACAAACCTCATATTTAGTTATCAGCCTTATGTAAATTAAAGCCATGATGTGATATACTACTATGTATCTTGCCAAAATGGCTAAAATAAAAAGATGGACAATGCTAGAGTCAGCAGAGATGCAAAGCAGCCATACTTCTTATACAGTGTTGGTGAGAATGTCAGTTGGTGCAACCACTTTGGAAGACTGGCAGTATCTACCAAAGATGAATATATGCATACCCAATGACCGAGAAATTCCATTTCTAAGTGTATACCCAAAAGAATATGCATGCATCCATTCACCAACAACATATATTAGAATATTCACATCAGTACTATTCATAATATCAAGAAACTGAAGAATACGCCATTAATAAAGAATAGATAAACTGTGACATAGTCACACAGTGGGATATGATACAGGAATGAGAATACAATATACAACTGCAAAACAATATGAAGGAATTTCACAAACAAAATGTTGAGGAAAAACCAGACACCAGAGTACATTCTTTGTGATTCCACTTATATAAAGTACAAAATCAATAATTAGAAATCAGGATAGCAGATATCTTTAGGCAGTACAAAAGGCATGTAGTGACTGGAAGGTGTGCAGAAGGGCTTCTGATACAGTTCTGCTTTTTTTATTTTTAAAGATATTTTTTTTAATTGGGGAATTGGGGGGATGGGAACAGCGCTGGGGAATTGGGGGAAGGGGAACAGACAAGTTGCTGTCCTTTTATTCTTCAGTCTAGTTGTGGAGGACCTTGCTTCACTGGCGCAACTTGGCACCATCATTGCGCTCTTCCTAGGCGAGGCAGATCAGTCGCCGGCTTCTGGACGGCTGATCACAGCGGCTGCTGGCCACTCACGCTGGCTACTCATGCTGGCTGCTGGCTATAAACGGTAGCCCATGGCAACCCACTGCCACAGGGGCTGCAGCCTACGCCGTCGCCGGCGACTCACGGCAGCCCAGCTCCAGGTTGAGCTGTTGTTCAGCATCTTAGCTGTAGAGGGCAGTGTCACTGGCCCTCATATGTGGGATACGAACCAGGGCCCTCTGGCATCCCAAGCTAGCTCTTAACCATCGCGCCACTTGGCCTGCCCCAGTTCTGCTTCTTGATTTACATATTATATAGGTATTTTCAGTTTGTAAAAATTAAGTTGTACACAGGTTTTTTCTTGCATTAGTCAAGTTTACATTTATCAGATAATGTGAGAAGAAGCATGCTCTAATAGAAACAGTAGAAGTGAATTACTGTGTAGCTTAAGCTTAAATAAGGCTTAAGCTTCAGGTCCCCTCACTTTCATGCTGAGGCAGGATAGATAGACGATGAAATTGACAATCCCCTCCAGGATACCACATGAGGTGCCTCACAGGTTACAAAAGTAAGTGACTATCCAGTACCTGCAGCTAGAAAAAAAACAACCAGTTTCATCAGGCAAGGCTAACTCCTGTGACCTATGACTGGGGACCTGACCTTTAGCTAATTATAATGTCATAATCTCATTTACATTGCAGTTACTACAACTCCCATCATACATGTGACACCATGACAGTTCTGAAGGAACCAAATAAGGAAGAAAATGGGAAACAGAGGGTCCCGCCCAGGGGAGGAGATGAATGAACCACATGAATGGGACACCACCAATTCCCACCCTGGTAGGGATAAAAACCCGTGATCATGACCTCCTCAATGTGACTCATTCTCTGAGTTCACCCTCACTTCAGGTGTGTACTTTAATTTTCAATAAATCACTCACTTTCCTGCATCTGCCTCGCTCTTGAATTCTTTTTTGCATGGAGACAAGAGCCCAGTCACCGCTGCTCTGAGTTGAGTCCTCTCTTGGACATCCCCATGAGCCTGTAGTGACAATGGGACTCAATAAGTGCTGGAAGCAGTAGTGGATTCTAGGTGCAGTGAGGAAACCAGGTTGCAGAGAGAAGCATTTCTATGTAGACATTTCTGGTTAAATTGCCTAAAAAGATCTCAGAAGAACAGGACCTGAATTGCCAATCCTCCAGTAATTTGTTGTATTCTCATTCTAAAAAATATTCACTTTGTGCTTACTTGTTTCTCTATTATTTTATTCTTTGTCTTAAATATGGACAACCCCCCTCCCCCCCCACATACACACAAACACACGCTGCATTTCACTAGTGTATAAACTTCAGCTCCTACCTACTTAGATCTGCCTCTGAGGAGTCAGAAGACCTTGTTCCAACCCTACCTATGGTTTGATTTTTATCACTGGCATCAAATCTTTCAGTTCTTTTCCTTGCATTTATAGGCTTCATTTTTATTCAAGAAACTCTTTAATACACTAAGTAATCATAGTTTGTCAGTCATTATTTCAAGTAAAAAATATTGTGCAATGGAATAAAGCAGCTATTCACGCTTTCAACTCAAAAGACTTACAGTGTGCTTTTTCTGAAGATGTACTTTAGTATGCAGCAGGAGTAATTTTTGTGTATTTCCCATTCATCACACAAAATGTTAAAAGGACATGTACTCAATAAAATTAATGGTTTTTACTAAGTTTTTTCAAGGACATTCTTAAACTGCTTTTTCCCCCCTTTTCCAACATATTTACGACAGAGTAAAATACAATGACTTAATTCATGCTAGCAGTTTTATTCACCATTGCTTTTGCACCATCAATGCAAATATCAGTGTACATGTTCCAAGATAAATGATGACATTTTAAAAAGTTTATTTAAGCCTTTAATATTTCAGTATAAGTTGTATTCAAATAAAAGATCTTTGATGATTAGTTGGTACTGATACCAGGCAGATACAGGCAAAACAGCAAGTCTAGCAAAGTCTGTTGCCTGATCATTTTTCAAGGTAAAATTACGATTCTGCAGAAAAAATATCTCTTCATGACTTCAGTTAAATCTTTAATTCAAAAAAAGTTACTATATATTTGGAAAATTAAACTTTCATGGTTTATTTCACTGACTTTTCATTTAGCAAGTATTGCAATGTCACATAGCTTCATTAGTATTTTGTGTGCTCCAACCACAAAAATACAGTGATTCACTCTGTAAAATGTTTCAGTGGTTTCTTCATTTCTAATTTCAAAAGGTAGAATAAATAATGACTTGAATTAGCTTATATCTATTTTTTTAAAGATTTTTATTGGGGAGTTGGGGGGATGGGAACAGCGCTGGGGAATTGGGGAAGGGGAACAGACGAGTTGCTGTCATTTTGTTCTTCAGTCTAGTTATGGAGGATGTTGCTTCACTGGCCCAAGTTGGCACCATCATTGTGCTCTTCCCGGGCGAGGCAGATCAGTCGCCAGCTTCTGGACAGCCACTCTCCGCGGCTGCTGGCCGCTCACCCTGACTGCTGGCTACACACGTAGCCCATGGCAACCCACTGCCACAGGGGCTGCAGCCTACGCCATCGCCGGCGACTCACAGCAGCCCAGCTCCAGGTTGAGCTGTTGTTCAGCATCTTAGCTGTGGAGGGCAGTGTCACTGGCCCTCATATGTGGGATCCGAACCGGGGCCCTCTGGCATCCCAAGCCAGTTCTTAACCATCACGCCACTCAGCCGGCCCACTTATATCTATTTTTAAATATTCAGTTTCTTTAAATGCCAATCTCAAAATGAAACTACAATAGTGGAAGGTCCAAGATGGCAGATTAGGTGAACACTATGCCTACTGCCTCCCAGGATAACACCAGAATTACAAGTAAATTGTAGAGCAGTCAACCTCAAGAATCATCTGAAAACCACCTGAACAGAATCCCTATAACTAAGAATCTAAAGAAGAGGCCACATTGATACTGGTAGGAAGGGTGGAGACACAAAACCAGCTGACCCAAACCCACAGATAGTGGTTGAACACTGGGAGAGACACCTCCTTGGTGGAGGTTCCCCCAAAAGAGGGAAGGATCCCAGCTGCACACTGGGCTCTGAATTGGGAGGTCCCCCCAAAAGAGGGAGGGTCCTATGCTGGGAAGAGGAATTACTACAACATCTGACAGTGAAAGTCAGCAAGGACTGTGTCTATCTATCCCAGTGAGACGAAAGATAGCTGGAAACCCAGATGCCCTCTTAAAAGGCTCACAAACAGACTCACTCGCTTACAAACACTCACCTGGTCTCTGGTGGAGGGGTGGCACCTCAAGAAGCACCAGAGACATACACAGAAAAACTGATTTGTGTGGCTATGGAGTGAGGACTAGAGCAGGGTTTGGCAAACTTTTAAGACGGAAGAGCCGCCAGGGGTCAGCAAACTGCAGCTCGCGAGCCACATGCGGCTGTTTGGGTACATACATATGGCTCTGAAGTAAAGTTGAAAATGAAAATAAAACTATCATAGTCTCATAAAAATTTTAAAGAATATTATTCACATAATGGTGATTATGTAAAAATATATTTATGGCTTTCGAATAATTTTTAAGTTGTTGTGAGGGACAGGATTGGCTCTTCCAGGGGTCGGCAAACTTTTGAGATTGAACATACCCGAAGAGCCGCATGTGGCTCGCGAGCCGCCATTTGCCGACCCCTGGGCTAGAGGGACCAGCCTTTGTCCCTGTGTGGACCCTGCCTCACATGTAGCCTAGAGGAGGGTGTGCTCTTTTCTGCATTGAACCCTCCCCCAAAGGGTTAAATCTGAGACCACGTTGGTCTGGTAAAATTCGCGCATGCATACCACCTTGATGATACCCTGGGTTCCTGCCCCACAGAGCTAGTACAGCATTGCTGGGACATTTTCAGCTACTGAGCAGTCCCATTCCATGAGCCATGGAAGCCTTTTACAGCAATGGATGGCCAGCTGCAGCCCAAGCAACTTTTGATGATGAGCAGCAAGCTACACCCTGCACCACAGGCTCTCTTGGGTGGCTGTTGGGGAACTGCAGGCCTGAAGTGAGCAGTGGCTAGCTGTGGTGTTCTCAGGGTGTTTTGTGAAGTGGTCACAGGCCCGGCATTGGTGCAAAAACCAAAACTGCATTAACTGTAAAAACCACCACCCACACCCCGTAACTCCTTGGAATCTTTTCCTGCCCACCTCGGGCTGCATCTCTGGGGGGACTCAACACTGGATCAAACAGCTGGCCCACACACCTAAGGATGTTCTTTCAACGGCTGAGCCTGTGGGCAGCCAGCAGGCGACTAAAGGCACAGGGTGCCCAAGCCTTTTGCTAAGCTGCCTCAGGCCCAATACTGGTTGCAGCTGGGCCTCAGTTCACAGTAAGGCCACCCCTAAATGCCTCCAGGTCAGCACAGGCAGCAACCAACCACATACAGCTACATAGCTCCTACCAGGCCAGTCACAGGCAAGACTGAAATACACCTGCATGGGAGCCCCTCCCAAGAGACACCAGAGATAGCACACCCAGAGGCCAGCTTCAGATCATACCAGAGCACTACCTGGTTAGACCCAGAACTAAAGGGTGGACTCAACAGGCACAAGAGCCTGTGTGGGAGAAAACTCCACTTGGACAGGTCAACCCTCACACAGCAGCTCATTCACTGTGGGCATAGCCTATCCTCACAGCCAGTCAGCCTGGGAGTAAACCCCACCTACTGAAATGCCAAAAAAGCAACCTAGGCTCAACTATAATAGGGGAATACACACAACACATACGAGGCACACACCTGGAACACATGCAGAGGAGATCAGTGTGATTGAACCATTGGACCACACAGGACATATACTACATAAGGTCACCCAGCAAAGACTGGACATCTACCTATTACATAGAAGCAAACACAGAGAGACAGCCAGAGGGAGATAACAAAGTGACATGTCCCAAATAAAAGAACAGGAGAAACCTCCAGAAATAAAACCAAACAAAACGGAGGCAACCAACCAACCAGAGACAGAGTTTAAAACACTGCCCATAAGAACGCTTAAGGAACTCATAATTTCAACTAAAAGATAGTAAGCATAAAGAAAGACATAGAAACCATAAAAAAGAACCAGACAGAAATAAAGAATACAATAACAAAAATGAAGAGTACACTAGAAGGTATCAACAACAAATCAGGTAAAGCAGAGGATCAAATCAGCGATTTAGGATACAAGTTATAAAACACCCAATCAGAACAAGCAAAAAGAAAAAAGAATAAGAAGAAATGAAGTAGTTTAAGGTACATTTGGGACAACATAAAGAATAACAGCATTCGCATCATAGCAGTACCAGAAGGAGAACAGAAGGAGGAAGGGGTCAAGAACCTATTTAAAGAAATAAAGATTTAAAACTTCCCTAACCTGGCAAAGAAAATAGACATACAATCTGAGGGAGTGCAGAAATTTCTAGACAAGATGAACCCAAATAGGCCCACACCAAGACACATCATAATTAAAATGGCAAGGGTTAAAGACGAAGAGAATCCTACAAGCAGCAAGAGAAAAACAACTAGTTTCTTATTGTACAAGGGAGCTCCCATAAGATTGTCAAATGATTTCTCAACAGAAACTTTGCAGGCCAGAAGGGAGTGGCAGGAAATATTAAAAGTAATGAAAAACAAGGGCCTACAACCAAGATCACTCTACCCAGCAAGGAGAGATAAAGAGCTTCCCAGACAAGAAAAAGCTAAAGAAATTCATTACCACAAAGCCAGTATTACAAGAAGTGTTAAAAGGACTATTTAAGCAGAAGAAAGGAAAAAACAAACGAACATCAAAAATATGAATAATAAAATGTCAATGACTATGTACCAGTCAATAATCACTTTAAGTGTAAATGGATTAAATGCTTCAATCAAAAGACGTAGGGTAGCTGAATAAAAAAAAAATAATAACACCCATG